GCCTGCTTCTCCCTCTCCCACTCCTCCTGCTTGTGTTCCCTCTCTCACTGTGTCTCTCTCTGTCAAATAAATAAATAAAATCTTAAAAAAATAAAAAGTAAAATCTGACCCTTAAGGCAGCCGCTCCTTTCCCTTTGGTCCACCGCCCTCCCTGAGTTCCTGGTCACTCCTCCTCCCCAAGGTACATCCTGCCACATTTTTTTTTGGCGGGGAGGGGACTTGTTCAAATTTTCCTTTCTTCCTTCTCCCAGACTTGAATTTCTTTTTTCTTTAAAAAAAAATTTTTTTTTTTAAGATTTTGTTTATTTATTTGACAGACAGAGACACAGCGAGAGAGGGAACACAAGCAGGGGGAGCGGGAGAGGGAGAAGCAGGCTTCCTGCCGAGCGGGGAGCCCGATGCGGGGCTCGATCCAAGGCAGACGCTTAACGACTGAGCCACCCAGCCCCCCCCTCCCAGACTTGAATTTCAAGTCTGATGTGAAAGAGAACTTCAGGTGCTCTCGGCTGGGTCCCCTCACAGTTTACGGAGGGTTTAGGGTTGGGGTGGATGCAGCTTCTCAGTTGCTTTTTGGGATGCCTTGTGGAGGTCGGCATGAGGTGGGGAGAGCCCGGGTGCCAAGTCTGATCAGGGGGCGGTTATTCCAGCAAGGGGTGGGGTAGGCTTCAGCACCCAGCAAAGGACATGAGCATCCACAGCCTAGATGGAACTATTGAGCACCTACCATGTGTAGCCCCGGGGATGGTCTTGGGCAGGAAATAGCTGTTGGTGGGGGTGGGGGGGAAGGGGCCCCAAGGGAGCTGGGGGAGGGGGTGATCCGGGTGGCGGTCTGAATCGGGTGAGGGAGCCGTGTTTAGGAGGCCAACCAGGATTTGAGGTTTGGAGTCCAGGAGGGCGGTCCTCACAGGGATGGAAGGTGCAGGATTGGAGGAGTGAGCCGGGGCATGCTGGGATGCCAGGGGGAAGTGCAGGAGTCTGGGTTCAGCCTCCTGAGGTGCCCCCCAGAGCCCCTGGAGAGTGGCTTCTAGGCCCTGCTGGGTGAGGGGCAGATTGCAGAAGCAAGGGTAAGGGGGCAGGAATGGGCCAGCCAGCCCTATCCAGGAGCCCAGCAGTGAAGGATGCAGGAGAGAAAGAGTGGGAGGGGAAGAGAGGGGCTGTTCCCCTAGGGAGGGATGCCTGAGAGCTTGTAGGCTGGGAGAGGGCCCAGGGTCTGTTTCTCCCTGCTGAGGGTGAATAGGGACTTGTGGACAAGGGAGGTGTGAACAATCTATAGGATGGGGGGGAGGTAAGAACAGATCGGGCAGGTTTCCCATTGAAGTGGCTCTGACAGGATGGTTTGGGCTGCAGATACAGTCTCTACTGAAGCCCCAGATTGGGGGAGGTGGAGTTGGGGGGGGGTGGGGGAGCGGAGTAAGGAAGAGGAAGGAACCCAACACCAGCCCTTGGTGAACCAGGCAGGTGTGATGCTTCCCCTCATTTAATAGACCACGAAGCAGGTTCTGAGAGAAGAGGTCATTTGCCCATGGACACACATTCATTTTTCCACAGATATTTATTGAACACTTACTTTGGGTCAGGTGCTGGGGTCACAGCTGAGAACAAAACAAAAGCCCCTGCTCTCCTGAAGGTCACATTCAAGCCCGGGGTGGGGGTGGGGATGAGAACACACAGATCAGTGAGCGACACATTTTCTCGGAAGGGGAAGACTTTGTGGTGAGAAAGTAGGGTGAGATAAAAGGGATCTGGAGTCAGGGGTGTCATTTTAAATGGGAGGGAGGGGGAGCCCAGGATAGCCCTCACTGAGGAGCAAGTGGGGGGGGGCATGTGCAAAGGCCCTGAGGCAGGAGTGAGCCTCCATGTGTAAGGACCAGTGCGGAGGCTGGTGTGGGTGCTGGGGTTGGGGGAGGTGAAGCTGGGGAGACAAGGCAAGCTGCAGGGATTCTGCAATCGCAAAGCACCCTGTAAGACTTTGGGTTTTGTTTTTTGTTTACTTTTCTCAGAGCCAGAAGGAAACTTCTGGAAGGTGTGGGGCAGTGAAGAAGGAAATTGAGGCAAGCTAGGATGAGGGCTACACCAAAGTGGTTGCTGGAGGTGGTGAGAAGTGGGCAGATTCTGCACATGGATTTCCCTGAGGATCCGGGGGTGAGGGGCAGTGAGGGAAACAGGTGCTGAGTGTGACCCCAACGTTGGCCTGAGTGGCAGAGTGGGGTCCCCTTTGGAGAGCTCAGGTAGGCAGTTACGCACTGGCCTGGAGTTCCAAGGGGGATCTGGAGGAGGCAGAAATCGGGTGAGCAGTGGGTAGACAACAGGTGACCTAGAGCTAGCTCTAGCCCTGGCCCGTCCTGGCCCCAGGACCCCTGGGTGCCCCTGGAACGCCCTCCCCAGCCCCCTTGGCCCAGGCCCTGGCTCCCAGGTCCCGGGTGGTCCAGTATGGGCCTCTCCTCATGGATTCCCCTCCAGGGGGCCTGAGAACCACGTGAGCAGACTGATTCTTCTTTTTTTAGGCTAGGAATTGGGGGTGAGGTGGCGGGCGAGGAGTTTAACGCGGTGTGTCCTGCGATCCTGGCCTGCCCCCCTCCTCAGCCCCTGGTGCAGGGACTGACCCTGGCCAAGCCTGGGGCTGGTGCCAACTAGGCCTCCCGAAACCCGTGCCGGGGTGGGGCCAGCACCTTTGGACTGGGTGAGCAGGCCACCCTTGGGCCTGCCTGCATTTGCTGAGTGCCTTCTGTGTCCCAGGCCCCAGGGGTGGGGTGGGGGTATGGTCTCCTCCTGACTCCAGCGGACGGTGGGTGGGCCTGACAGAGGAAGCACACGGGGGCCTGAGGCAGCCGCCACTGCTCTGAGGTGGTCCTCTGAGCACTTGAAAGCAGGGACATGGGGACAGCCAGCTGGGCTGAGGAGCAAGGGACAGACCCTCTGGGGGGTTGGCTGGAGCCCGGGGGTGGGTCAAAAGCCCTTCTTCCGATTGGGCAGGAGAAAATGTGGCCGGGCCCTTAGCCACAAACTGTTGAGGATCCTCAGAGCCCGGCTGTGGGCCTGGCTGTTCCAGTGTCTGGGGCAGGGGAGCGACGCAGGGGTGCACCTCGCAGGTGGGCTGGGGACTGTCAGGGTCTGGGTCTTGGAGCACGGGCCAGTGAACCCCGGGGGGACCGAGGTGGCGGGTGGGCGGTCAGCACGTGGCCAGCCGGTCACACACCCAGCCGTCCAGCCGGCTGCCGCAGAAGGCATCGTTCCACTCTCCGGAGCCCTGCATCATCACACAGTCCTCGCCTTGGCCCCCATTGTTGGGCTCCCCCGGTCGCCAGTTGCTGAAGCAGAAGGGTCAGAGAATGGAGGAGGGGGGAGGAGCCCTACTGCCTTCAGCCTAGACACATCCGTCAGAGTCTGGGCCCTGCCCACCCCATCCCTGCAGCCCAGGAGTACCCTCCCCGCACATCCCCTCACCTCCACCTGGGTCTGCCCCCCAAGCCGGTCATTGCAGAGAGGCACACCCCCTCTCTGAGTCGGGGCCTCATCCCCCCTACGTTCCCCCTCCTTACCTATAGTTCAGGGGGCCCTGGTCCATCCAGATAAACTCCCCCTCTCTGTCCAGGTCCCGGAGGCCAATCCAGGTGCCCTTCCTGTTGGCATGTCTGGCCAGGAAGTCCTGGGGAGCAGGACAGGACTGGAAGGGCTGGGGAGTTGTGCCCGGGTCCCTCCCACCGTGCAAGAGGTCGAGGTGGGGATCCACACCCCCCTGCCCACCGAGCCCAGGCCCACCTGCTCCTCTTGGCTGTGGATGCTGACCAGCCGCCCTTGCAGTTTGCTGCAGGCAAACCGGGCCTGGATCCACTTCTTGGGGCCCTCACCGAAGTAGTAGCACTTCCTCTGGAAGTTGACCCAGTTCTCGGGGCACGTGTTACACAGGGAGCCTGGGGTGGAGGAGAGGCTCAGGCGGGCAGCTGTGGTGGGCACCGTGGCGGCCGCTGTGGCTGACGCCGTGACTGGCACCGTGGCGGATGCCGTGGCGGGCACCGTGGTGGACGGTGTAGCTGGCACTGTGGCGGGCACCGTGGCGGGCACCGTGGCGGACGCCGTGGCTGGTGCTGTGGCTGGCCCCGTGGGTATGATAGGCAGAGTGGGTGGCAGCATCTCTCCTGGAGTCACCCCTGGGGTCCGGGCTGAAAGCAGACCCACCCCAGAGCCTAACAAGGTCTTGCAGGCTGCCTTCTCCGGAGCTCTGACGCCGACGTGCTCCCCGGCAGGAGCAGCTCAACAGCCAGCACCATCCCCACGAAGACCCCCACCGGAGCAGAGTGCCTGCCACGGACCCCCAACATCAAGGCCAGCAGCACCTCAGCCTCCGCCAGCACCATCCCCACAAAGAGACCCACAGTCAGCAGCGGGCCAGTCACCATCGGCATCCCCACGGCATCCGCTCCATGGCCCTCAGCACCTCAGCTACCAGGTGTGGTTTGTGAGCACCACAAACACCTTCACGGTCAGAAGCACCTCAACCGCCAAGCCCTGCCAGCGACACCTTCGTCACCACCATCATCACCGGAGGGACCCAGGATTGCCGGCAACCTCTCTCTGCTGCTGCCCCCACGGCCAGCGCCGCTGCCGACGTGGTGGGGCCAAGACTGCAGCAATGCGTTCCCCGTGTCTTGTCCCCACCATCGGCTCCGATGACAGCCCTGGTCACCCTTGCTACCTGCACCCCCAAAACCAGACTCTAGCCACGTTTGGGGACCGGAGATGATTTTTGTCTAGTTGGAGGGATTGATCGGGAGAGCTCATGGGGGGCTGGGTCCGCCTGGCCTCGACCTTGGGCTGCCTTGGTCTCTGTCTCCTCTTGCGCCCACCCCGAGGAAGCTCTCAGGCACTGTCGCCACCACCCAGCACTCCCAGGTGTGAGGTTAAACCCACTGCTACTGGGCGGACTTGCTCTTGATTTAAAATAGATTTTCTTGGACTGATGCGCAGAGAGGGCTCCATAGCTTTCGGGGAAGTTTTTAAGGGGCCTGGGGTCCACAACCTCCGTGCGGAGCAAAGCTGGATGTGTTTCTCACACATGAACCAGTGACCCGTACGTGGCCCTTGGTGCAGGGGGGTGGGGCACATTAAAACAGGAAGAGAGTATCTCTGGGCACTTGAAGACAATTTTGAAGGGTAGGGTGCCTGGGTGGCTCAGTCAGTTGGGCGTCCTGCTCTTGATTTCTGCTCAGGTCATGATCTCAGGGTCATGAGATCGAGCCCCGCATGAGCACAGAGCCTGCTTGTCCCTCTCCCTCTGCTCCTTCCCCCTGCTCATGCTCTCGTTCTCTCTCTCTCTCTCTCTCTCTCTCTCAAATAAATAAAGAAAAAAAATCTTTGGTGCGGAGGAAGAAAACTTTGAGGAAAGTGCCCTGGCGGAGTGTTGCGTAGTCATCGAGAGACAGCCCTGCAGCTGTGCTCAGACCCCAGGCCACACCAGGGACTGGGTAGGAACTGGAAGGTCATCCATCAGAGCGAATGTGGGCCCAGAGGGACCACAAGCCAGTTTCTTGTTGAGATTCCCACAGCCACACAGTGTCCCAGGGGACTGCACTCCTTCACACCAAGCACAGAGCCTTCCTCTTTTCTTTGCCAGTTGGGGCAGCTGGGACTTCCCAGAGGTGGAAAACCAAAAATCAAGGGTGAGGGTGAGGGTGGGGGAGGACATCAGGGCAGTAACACCCAGGTTCCTATCCCAGGTTAAAGGTGCACTGATTGAATGTCTGCTCTTCCTGCAGCCTGCTGCGCGGCCCCCCTGACCCTCATGACCACCAGCATCACCCCCATCGCTGCAGAGGTGACCCCCTTTGTCCCCCCTGGCTAGGGCAGTCTTCCGGGAGGGCCGTGGCTGAGGGCATCGTGCTGATGACTCTCTGCTGAGCCACAATGGGCAGAGGAGAGAGAGACAAAGAGAACCCAGAGATGGCAAAACAATGCTTTTACCTGGAGGAGGAAAAAAGTGTTCGAGCGCCCCCCGCCCCCCCCACCTGCTCCAGGTCCTTAGAGGGAAGAAGCTGGACTCAGAAAGAAACTCTTGTGTGTCCCCCACGGACCCTGCCACACGCATAAGCACACACCCATCCACGTTGTCACGTGCACACATCTACCACACATTCAAATGCACATCACCACACAACTGTGTTGTCACACACATGTCCCAACACACCAACTCACCGTTGGATGTGTGTAGCTCTATCCACAGCTTCACCACCTCCTCCTGGAGCCTTTCCAGTGAATGTAAGGCTGTGTGTCTCTCGTTCAAGCCTTGGGTGATTGGGTGGGGGACAGTGGTCAGAGACAAACTTGCAACGCCCCCCACCCCCCCCCCCATTCCCTCCCAAGGCTCACTCAGGGACTTGAGGTTGCTCAGGTCCGAACGAAGTCCATCCAGGCTCCGGGAGAGCTCAGAGTCTGATGGGGGTGGGCTGGTATGAGGGTTGGGAGTCCAGAACCCCCAGCCACTGGTCCCTCCCAGCTCTAGGACTCCCCCCCCCCCAATTTCTCACCCCGAGCTTTCATTCTCTTCTGTTCAGCTTGGATTTCCTCCATGTTCTGTGACACCTGGGAATCTGGTTGCAGGGGAGGGGGCTCAGTGGTAAGCCAGTCCTCAGGGCCCTCCCCAGTCTCCCATCCCCCCCCACCCCCCATGTCTTCAGGGTCACCTGCTCATTTTGTAGTTCACAGGTGGTCTAGTGCACTGTGCCCACAAGTTAATCCAGGTTTCCCCACCCCCACCCCTCTCCTCCTCCTAGACCCGAGCTGACATCCCTCACCCTGGGCTTTCTGGGCCATCTGGTCTCCGTTGTGTCTTTCCAAGTCCTTGGCAACCCGAGAGACTGGGGTGGCAGGAGAGGAGATGTGTCTTCAGGAGCCAGGAAGGCAGGTTCCTGAATCGCTCCCCTCTCCCTCCCCTGGCCCCAAGTGCAGGACCCCCTCACATGGTCACAGGGCCTGAAGCTTTTCGTTTTTCATTTTTGGGGCAAGAGTACTCAGGAAAATGCAGGCCAGAATAGAATGAACACCTGTCCCTCCCCCACCCAGAAGGAAACGTAAATGCAACAGGCATTTCTTGAAAGCTCACTGGACGAGGGTCTAAGTGCTTCACAGGCTTAGCTTGTTTCTGCCTCGACAGCCCTGAAATGATGCCCATTTTGCAGGTGAGGGAACTGAGGCCTGGAGCAATTACGTAGCATTCCATCAGGCACTTCTCAGCGCCCCCTCCCCTCCAAGAGTCTCTGGGTTTTCACCCCCAGGGGAGGGGGAAATGCAGGCTGACCCTCAGTTCCGGGGCGGGGGCGGGGGGGGGACACTGGAGCCCAGCCCTTCTCCCATGTCCCACAGTGGTCAGTGGCAGAAGCAGGACAAGAGACCCCCTCCCCCGCCTCGGCCCCTCCATACCGTTCCGGGCAGCGGTTACTTCTAGCTGTTTCAGATTCTGCACAGTGTCCCAGTCTGGGGAGGAGAGAAGAGAAGGGGAGAAGACGGGTTTCCAGGTGCGCCCCCACCCCCAGCCCACCTGTCAGCTGGGGTTGAAGGCCTTGGGCATACTGTGTGGGAGGTGTGGGAAGGGCGGGAGCCAGGGGTGCTGGACGGGGTGGGGAGCTCTCAAGGGTGGGCAGAAGGGGCTTGGGAGGGGGCCAGTGAGGACAAGGCGGGAGACACGGGGGGAAAATTGGACTCCAAGGAGTGTGTTGGGCTTCCCGGGGTTGGAAAGTGGGCTTCTGGGAGGGAACACAAGAGGGAGACCGCATGGGGCTGGGGGTATCCTCACGCCAGAAGAGAAGCAGGGTCAGCAGCCCAGCCCACAGCAGGATGGTCGCCAGCCCCACCAGCATCAGCTGCACCCCCTGCCCACGGCATCGCCGCCGTCTGGAAAACTTTGGGAACTCTGCTGGGTCTGGGGAGAGCACCAGAGGGAGAAGGTTGAGACTGGGCTTCAACTGCCTGTCTCCCCATCACCCAGAGCCCCTAAGTCCCGGGAGCCCGTCCAGAGCCCACACTAACGCAGTGGTCTCAGGGGACCCCCCGCCTCCTCTGCACGCCTTCCCTGCTGTCTGTCGTACCCACCAGCGAGCACCCCACCCCCGGACTTTGTCCCTCTCTGCATGCATGCCTCTCCGACTCTGTCCCTCCCGCCGTCCAGCCCCACGTCGGTCACTCCTTCTGCCCACGCCCCAGTGGTCAGCAAGCCTGACTGCGGGCCAGGTCACTGTCCAGAAAGATGGGCCCAGGACCAGGAGCTGAGACCCTTCCTCCACGGCCCCTCATCAGATGGCCAACCCCCACCCAGCTCTCACCCGTGGTCCTCTTCCCTTTTATGGGTTCAGTTACCCCCTCACACGCCCATGCTCGATCTCCAGCCTCATGCCCAGAAAGCTGGGTCTTCCCTCACCTTGGACCCCCAGCCCTCACTGTGGGCCTGGCCCAAACTCAGCACATCGGCTTTCAGTTCTTCCTCAATATCCGAGCTCTTCCCCAGCCTTTTCCCGGGATGTCAGACCCCCCGGGGGCCTCACCCCAATCCCTACCTTGTGGCCCCACCTTGGGTCCGGGCCCCCTCCCCTCATCCTGGCTGTGAGGATTCATCACGCCGAATTCCCCTTGTTCTGAGTCCCCGTTCTACTTGGCTTCTAATTCTATCCGGCTCCCAGCACCCCAGCTGAGGTGGGGTTTTTTTGTTGGAGGGCGTTGAGTCAGGGAAGGGAGGGTTCTGTGGCTTCCCTCTCCTTCCTGGCTCTGTGCCCAGAAGGCCAGTCTGGGCTCACCTCCCCCTGGCCCCTGGCTGGGCCTTCTTCCCAGAGAGAGACCCAGGAGCCCCTCTCCTCTCCTGGGTAAAAGGTAGGAGGTCAGGTGCTTGGTTTTGCCAGTGTCAGCACCAGAGACTCCTCTCACCTGAGTACGAATGCTCTTCCATGGCAGTCTTGCTTGGATTCTCCCAGCGACAGGCTGCTCACCACCAGACAAAGCAGTCTACTTAACAGGTAATAGCTCCGGCCGGGATCTGGGTTCTAACGAGCAGGAAGGGTAGATGTCAGGCTCCGGACAGCATGTGGGACCTGAGGAGCTCAGTGACCATTGGCTGATTTTGTTTAGTCCATGGCCAGGAGTCAATGTTGCATTTAACTGGGAGATGCAGCTGGTTTGGAAGGTCACAGGCCTGAGACCAGAGGTGGGCACCCCGGAGTCCAGCACATGCAAGGTACACAGCAAGTGCTTGATAAACGCGGCAAGAAAGTCATTCGTCCAACTTCCTCATCCATAAAATGCCAATGTTAATAATACCTATGCCCAAGGGCGGTGATGTGCTCCTCATGAATATGTAAAGTGCTCTGAACAAGGCCCGGCACATAGCACCACAAATAGAATCAGCTTGTTACTATTGCTGCCTGTGCAACCTTGGCCCGGGACTCCATCTTTCTGAGCCTCAGTTTCCCCTCTATAAAACAGGAATGATGATCGCATCCAACTCAGGAGATCGTGGTAGGATCAAATGAGATAATGTGTGTGAGGCTTTCAGCGAGGTGCCCTATGCCCACAGTGGGTCCTCAGATCCTAAACACTTATGAGGCATCTACTGTGTGCCCGGTCATGCTGGGAGGTGCAGAATCTCTGCCACCAGACCTCAGTTTCCTCCTTTGCCAACGTGCCCAAAGCATCTTTAGAGTCTCTTGACTCTGGGGCGCCCGGGTGGGCGTCCAACTCTTGGTTTCGGCTCAGGTCATGATCTCAGCTTGTGAGATGGAGCCCCAAGTTGGGCTCCAGGCTCAGCGGGGGGTCTGCTTCAGAGTCTCTTCCTCTTCCTCGGCCCCTCCCCCAGCTTATGTGCGCTGTCTCTCTCTCTCTCTCTCTCAAATAAATAAATAAATCTTTAAAAAGTCTCTTGACTTTAAAGACTGTGCCAAAGACTGTGGGTTTGGGGGTCAGACAAGCCTCTTGTCTGAGGTTATAGGCTGTCTCTCTTGCTGTATGACTCTGGGCAAGTCACTTCCCCTCTCTGAGCCTTGGGGAAATGGAGACGTGTGGTGACCAGGCTCTGATTAATGGCGGCTCAAACTGGATCTTTCGCCATCGTGGAAGAAGCCAGAGGCGCCACCATCCCGCTGCCCAACCTGCGTGAACCCACGCTGGACGGACCTAAGGCTGAGTCCTGGCTTCTCCCTGAGGGCGCGGCCTGGTTGGCTCAGCTGTCAACCAGGGGTTTCGGTGTGCGAGGCCCTGGCACACAGTTTCTGCTCGGTTAACCTCCTGGTGGGGTGCTGGGGAAACTGAAGCACCAAGAAAGTCATTCGTCCATGTCACACAGTGGTGGGACTGGGACTTGAACCCAGGACGTGTGACATTGGAGCCTATTTGCTCAACCACATGGTGGGGGGGGCAAGACCTCCTGGTAGGTGTCTTCTGGTAACCTGACACCAGGCCTGACGCCAGGCCCTCTATCTAACACCAGAGTTCCCAGCCCTGCTTCCGGCCTTCCGTGGCTCTCCACGGCCCCCTGCGATCAACCCCAGCACACCCCCCAAGCTCATCTGTTCTTTGCAATCATGCCAGGCGCTGACTTCCGCCTCCCCAACCCAGGACCCTGCACCTCCAGCGATCCCGCCCATGCCGCCCACCGCCCACTGCCCTTCCTTCATGCAGAACTGCCCCCCCCACGCATCCTTCAAGACTCAGGCTGGAGGTCGCTTCTTCCAGGGAGCCTTCCCTGTCCGCTTCCCAGGGCCAGCCCCGACACACACGCGCACAGAGGGTCACCTATGTGCACACACACTCACACACACTCACACACTCATGCATATCCTGCACTCACATGAGTTGTGAGCGTGTCGCTCTCCCAGCCCGTCGGGGCCGACTGGAGAGGCCTGTGGGGCCGCAGGCCACAGTGAGCTTAACCTGGGAGAGAGAGTTTCTTCTGAAAGCTCACCCGCCCACAGATTCTATTTTCACAGACCTAATTATGGGCTCACCACCTGGTTAACCATATCATACACATGGCCTCCCCTGGTGCTCCCCACAACCCGGTAAAGTCCATACTATTAATAGCTCTCTCCGTCACTCAGGTGAGCCAACGCAGGTTCAGAGACGCTAACCTGCATTCCCGGAGCGCTGCAGGAAGTAACTGGTAGAGTCGGGACTGAACCCAAGTGACTAGAAAGATCCAGGAGATCACATAACATCTTGGTCACATAGTGACAGTTTCGTTACACGGTTGAATTTAGTAGCAGCAGAAACTGGGCTCAGTGCCCAGTGTCCTAGGACAGCAATTTAATGTCCACAAACACTCCGCGAGGTAGACGCCTTTGTTCTTCATGCTGCCTTATTGGTGTAGGATGTGGGGCACAGAGAGGTTAGGTAACTTGCCCGAAGCCACACAGCTCATAAATGGCAAAGCCAGGATTTGAACCCAGGCAGCGTGGGTCCCAAGTCTGCTGCTCTAACCACCATGCACCTGGCCTTGTATTTATGAGGCCTCCTTCTTGACACCTCACACCCTGCTCTTCCTCCTGAAAATGTATCCTCTGTTCCTTAACCGTCTTCCCAGTCTTGTCTGGAGAACACCCCGTGCCCAGCCCCCACCCCTGGATAGGAAGACACCCGCCCATGCCCCTGTGTCCCACTTCCCAGCCAGGACTGGGCTAGGGAGGGTCCTGGCTGAAATGTCTCCCCTGTCCATCAGACTGTGTTTTCAGCACCGAAGGGCAGCCCTCAGTACGTGTCTATTGACTGAATGACTGTTGGGTTGAGGCTGTGTATTCAGGGCCCCTGACTGTCCCTCTCAACCTTGATCTGGGCTAATCGTGGGGATTCGGACCCATTGCATGATTGGCCAACTGACAGAGGATTGTCATTTTATTTTTTTTTTTAAGATTTTATTTATTTGTTTGACATAGAGAGAGAGAGAGAGAGAGATCACAAGCAGGAGGAGAGGGAGAGGGAGAAGCAGGCTCCGGCTGAGCAGAGAGCCTGATGTGGGGCTCGATCCCAGGACCCCGGGATCATGACCCGAGCCAGAGGCAGAAGCTTAACCGACTGAGCCACCCACGTGCCCCAGGATGGTCATTTTAAGTAGGGAAGAGAGTTGTCAGGTGGGCACCAGAGAGAGAGGTCACTGGGGCTAGACATAAGGCAGCAGGAGGCTTGGGTGGGGGGACCCTGGGTGTTGTCATGGGGGCTAGGTGGGGGTGGGGACACTGGGGAGCTGTCACCTGGCCCAGGTGCCAGAGGAGGTGTGTCTGGGGCGGCGGCTGTGGGAATGAAGAGAAGCAGGTTGTTTTGGGAAGGCACCGGCCTTGGCAATGGGGGAGGTGGGCAGGGGAGGTACTCAGAAGATGCTGTAAAAATTGACTGGGTCTCAGCTGGAGTCCTTGATGGACAATGGGGCTGTCCTAGTGATGAGGACACAGGAAGGAAGGAGGAGGAGAAAGTTTGGGAACACTCCTTGTTGGGTCGCTGTGAAGACAGAGGATGGGGTAGGGGATGATGAATGGAGGACGGGGTGGGGAAGCAGTTTGGTGTTTTTGAGCTTCTGGGAGCTCTGCAGGCCCTGTGCTCGGGCCCCCGTCCGCACTGCTGCCCACTATCCCCACCGTGCCCTTCTGGGGGGCAGAGCAGCTCCTGTGATACTGGGTCCCTGCCAAGACTTAGCTTAGACAAGACGATGCTTTGGGGGTGAAATCTCCACTCCCCTACTTGGGGGGGGTGCAGCAACGTTGTCATGCGATTGACCCCTCCCTCTTCCTTTCTGTGGTATCAACCCACCGCTCTGTTCACTTTAAGGGAAAAACAGGAAACTGTGCGGATGTGGGCCCCGATCTGAGGGTGTCAGTTCTTCTTTCAGGTTTGGGATCCTTGAGCCTGGGGCAGCCCCTTCGCTCATCACAGACCTGGATCCATAGGAATGAGTCAGGGGTCCGGCAACAACCATAAACGATCCCCAGGCGGGTTCCCACCCCAGCCCCAGCCCTGACCCTGCTCGACCCCGACTCACCCCCAAGGATGTTCTGATCCCCAACGCCCCTCACCTGTGCTCTGTGCTGAGGAGGAGCCGCATCCACCCCACTTAACTTAGAACCTCAGCACCTGGGACAGGGCCCCGCGTCCAAAGCAAATGTGATGAAGGAACATTTCCACTCTGACCTTGACCCCATCCTGGTGGCACAGCCCTGGGCTCACCCCACCTGATCAATCTCTCCTGGTGTTGCAAAAGGGAGAAAGGAAGGGGGGGTGTCAATCCAGGAGGGCTTGCAGGAGGAGGTGCCTCTAAAACTGGGTTTCTCATTCTCAGCTCTGTGGGCACTGGGGCCGGATGATTCCTTGCTGTGAGGGGGCTGTCCTGTACATTGCAGGATCTTTAGCAGCATCCCTGGCCTCCATCCACTGGCTGCCAATAGCTGTCCCCCTTCCACCTAGTCACGACAGCCAAAAATGTCTCCACCATCACTTAACGCCTCCTGGCGGGGGTGCAGAATCACCCCCAGTTGAGAACCACTGCTTCAAAGCATGATTTATAGACAAAAGAGAAGGTTCTGGCTTCAGGCTTCAACACGCCTTCCCTCTGTCTCCTTCTATCTCTCCATCTGCTGTGGACCAATGACCTCTTTTCCTCTTTGGTCT